GAGAAGTAACCAAATCAAGCAGTGCCTTTGATTTTCCATAACTCTGTGTGCTTAATTTTCTAGTAGATTCACCGAAAAACGTAAGCTTATCATGCCTTTAATTTGTTATGTAAGACTTTACTGAGCTTAAGCTTAACCGTCATTTAGGTTACTTTATCGATGCTGGAGACAGCTAGTTTTAATTTTGAACTTAACTTTTAAAGCTTGAGTTGATGTTAAAAACTTATAACCAGACAGCTTGCTTTCCAGCATGTAAGCCTAGCAGACAAATTATTCTGTACCACAGGAATACCAAGTCCAGATGGTTTAAGTTTGTTCTGAGGAGAAGGTGCTGGTAGGGCTGTAGCCTTACCACAAATTTTTGGTTTTGCTGATTTTTTACAGCGTGCAAATACATGATAAATGGTAGACAAGTGACTGTTTTAAATGCTTGGTTGACTAGGCCAGATTTTTTAGACCTACTTGTACCACTTGAAAATGGTCTCCCGCTGCCATGGTCCCTGATTTTCGAGTAACAAGCAGGCTAAAGCTTTGTACCGAGATTATTTGTATCATATTTCAAACTTCTATGCGATTGTTTTACAAATGTAAATATCTCTGCAAAAGAAATCATTTCTAACAATACCAAATGTCGAAATCAAATTTTGAAGTTCATATGAAACACTTGAAAGTACTGTTAAAATGAAACTGATGATGACATTTTATCTGTGTTTGCCCAATTTCTCAGAACTTCCTCAAGTTCCCATGAGAATTTTTTTTGGTGTTATTTCAGACATCTATTTATATCTTTATCACTTAGAATTTAATGCAAAGGACTGCAATATACTGAAATTTTATTCTGGTACAAGGTTTTTGTCCACTTAAAACTGAAATTGCTCTGTTTCCTATCAGATTTTATCTTAAGATATTCACCATCCAAACTGACAGGTTTTTAAGATAATTGAAAAATTCATGAATGACCACTGATCAATTTATTGTTTTCAATTCGTTAATGTGCTTGCTCCTGGCACGTCTTGATATCTTTATTGTTCTCCAATGTTTCCTCATGGTTATTCCTCAGAGAAAGAATACCAAAGTTCAGTACACAAAACAGCTTTGTTTTGACTCAGTCACTGTTCAAGAAAATTCAATGACTTTTTTAAGACTTGTGAGGGATTTCAAGAACTTCTCAAGGACTCTACCTGAAATTCAAGGACTTCTCAAGAATGTGCAAACCCAAGGCCTGTCAAAAGTTATCATTTCTGCTAGAAGTACTCTTGGCAAATCTAGATGATAAATTCTAGATTGCTTGTTAGTGAGAGTAATGCACTTTCATTAAACCAGTGTTTTTTTTGGCCTTGGACATTGCATTTGGAATACAGCTTATAATACAATGGTTTTTCCAGGCCATAAGCACCAACACAAGTCAAATTACACGACAAGTCTTCATTTGGGATAGGCTTGAGTTCTGCTGCTCACCAAGGTCTTGCGGGCTCCTTCCCACGGGCTCCTTCCCCTGGGCTCCTTTCCCAAACATTTGCTGGTGATCAAGTCTGCAATTGGAATGCGATGCACAAATGTACATACATCAAACCCGAACAACTGCAGAGCCACGTGGTGCTGCTGCCTTGAGAGATTATTCTGCCACGTCAGCAGCAGGCCAAGATACACTTTACATGTAATTTTATCAATGGTTTTGCCATTTTCATACTGATAGATTTACCATATTCTCGTTACAGAAAGTATCACATAGAGTTTGGTATACTTGACAAAGACCATGGTGTAGCTTATGGGACATATGAG